TGGCTTTCACAATGTTCAGTAAGTCAGAGTTTTTTTCCTGAGGTATCTTATTTTTTTTCTTTTATCAGTCTTGTGACTTTGCTTTCATATTTCTTGTCTCATGGAATCATTAACTCATATTTGTTTCATTATAATTTTTACTTAGTCTGTAACTTTGGTAAGGTTATACCTCTGGTAAGCTGTTAATTGTCTTTTCTCTAATGCTCTATTTCTTTTAATAATTCATTCTTCTAATTACAATTCTTCTTCCTCATCTGAAATCACTTAGATGCCTTCAGCCATTATTCTCTGCCTTTAACCCCCCCCACTTCCCCCCCCCCAATCTCTAATGAGAAAATGGCCCTTCTCCTTGCCAAGGCTAACACCTTTACTTGAACAAGTGATCTCAATCCATACTGTAATCTCCAGCAAATTGCCCACTCTATCACATCATTTTCTGCTTCCCTACTGCCTAGAAACACGTCCATGTCTCCCATATTTTCATAAAATTCTCATTTGATCCATCTATCCCCCATAGCTTTTGCCCCATATCTCTCCTCCCTTTCATAGGTAAACCCCTATAGGTGCCTCCACTTCTTTTTCTTTTAATCTCTTCTTAACTTTCTACCACCTAGTTTCCAATTTCATCTTTCAACTAAAACTGCTCCTTCCAAAGTTGCCAGTTATTAACTGCCACATCTAACAACCTTTTCTTGAGACTCACCCTTTTTGACCTCTCTGCAACTTTTAACACTGTTGAATCTCTCTAGGTTTTTAGATCACTCCCACTTATTTGACTGCTCTTTCTCAGTCTCCTTTGTTGGATCTTCATCCAGGTCATAACCTTTAACTTTGGTGATCCTACAAGACTCTGTCCTGGGCCCTCTCTTCTTCTTTTATACTATTTCACTTGGTAATCTCATCACTCCTGTGGATCCAATTTTCATCTACACAGATGACTCTCAGATCTACTTGTCCACCCAGAACCTCTCTGGCCTCCAGTTTTGCATCTCCAACTTCCTATTAGACATTTTGTTTCTTTTTTTTGTTTTTGTTTTTGTTTTTGCTAGGCAATGGGGTTAAGTGACTTGCCCAGGGTCACACAGCTAGTAAGTGTTATGTGTCTGAGGCCAGATTTGAACTCAGGTCCTCCTGAATCCAGGGCCGGTGCTCTATCCACTGCACCACCTAGCTGCCCCCCATTAGATATTTTGAAATTGATGTCCCGTAGCCATCTTAAATTCAACATGTCCAAAAGTGAATTAATTATCTTTTCCCCCAAACTCTTCCTCGTCCTAACTTCTCTATCATTCTCAAGGATACCATCACCCTCTCAATCATCCAGGCTTGCAACTTAAGTGTATCCTCAACTCTTTACTCTCACTCACTCTCCAAATCCAACCTGTTGCCAACTCCTATTGATTTTATCTTCATGATATCTCTCTCATATATATTCCCTTTTCTCTTCTGACATTGCTGCCAATCTGGTCCAGGCCCTCATCATCCCACACTTGGACTACTGCAATAGCTTGCTGGTTGGTCTCTTGCTTAAGTCACTCCCCACTCCAGTCCATTCTCCACTCCTTTGTTAAAGTGATCTTCCTGAAGTGCAGGGGTGACTAGATTATATCTTCCCCTCTCCCTTGTCACTCAATAAATTCCAATAGTTCTCTATCACCTCTGGCATCAAATACAAAATCCTCTGGCATTCCAAGCCTTTTATAACCTGCCCCACCCCTTCCCAGTCTTCTTGCACCTTAAACTCTCTTCTCCCCAGCATGTACTCTGTGATACAGTGACACTGGCCTCCTTGCTGTTGCTTTAATAAGAAACACCATCTCCTGACTGGGCATTTTCACTGGCTGTCCCCCATGACTGGAATATCTTCTCTCCTCATCTTTGCTTTCTGGTTTCCCCGACTTGCTTCAAGTCCCAGCTAAAATCCCCCCTTCTATAAGAAACCTCTCCTAATCTCCCTCAATTCTAGTGATTTTCTTTGTTGATTATTTCCAGTTTATCCTGTATGTAACTTGCCTGTACGTAGTTGTTTGCATGCTGTCTCTCCATGAAACTCTTTGAGAGTAGGAATTGTCTTTTCCCGTCTTTGCATGTAGTAATTGCTTAATAAATGTTTTTTGACTGACTACTGACAGATTATATTTATAATTTGGTTTTTAAATTCTCATTTAATTTCTTCTATGAATTCTATTTGACCTCGAATCCAAGCCATGTTTTCCTTTACGTTTTAACAGGAGATGTTGTCAAATCATTCTATTCTTGGTTTGTTTCTTGGGTGCCCCTGGTTCAACACTATTTCTTTACCAAAAGCATTTTTTGTTCATTAGCTTACTCTTTCTTTTGGCCTTACTTCCTGAACTGGGATGTTAGGTTAGGGATAGGCTCTCCACACTTCTGTAGGAAATGCCAGAATAATTTTTGGTCCTGATTTGTAGTCTCTGTTGATATTACTCCTGCTTTCTCTGGATATTGAGTGCTTCAAGGATCTCAGAAGTGGCTGAGGTCAGGGAGACGTAAGCTTTCTGTGAATCCTAAGTGCTATAATATAGGGTGACATCTGATCATCGCCCTTCAGATGTGAACTTTTGTCAAGCTTCTGATCATATCTGGGAAGTGCAACACAATTACAGGCTTGCCCTTAGTTGGAACCCCAGGGGTCTATTCTCTTCCTGTTCCTTATCTTGTACATGACCTCAGGTTCCCCTCCCTTCTAGATCCACTGTGGTTCTTTGTTCATATGTGCAAAGCTGCAGGCTCTGGCCCAGTCCCCATGTTGAAAGGCTCTGAGCAGACTCTTTTGGCTTTTACCCTCTTCCTGTGCCTGTGAGTCTCAAGCTGTTTCTCTGTGCTGACCTGGGCTAGAAAAGTGTCCCACTGTTATTTCTTCCTGGATTTCCCCCTCAGAAATCTAGTTGTAATGCTTCTTTTTCTTCTACCTTCTTTAATAGTCTTCCAAGCTTGTTACTTTTGGACCAAGATTTGAACCTTGGCCCTTTCTGTTTCTGTGTATACCAAAGCCAAACACTATTCCTCTCTTGTAGCCCTTTACAATTTAGGACACAGAATAATCAAAAACAGTTATTAATCTTGGATTTTCTTCTTATCCAGAGAAAGCTAGCTTTAAAATACTATTTAAATCAGCAAATAATGAACTTTAAAGAACAGATAAACTTCGGGTTTAACATATCCTTGGATATGGGAAGAAGGGGCAAGCCAATGATACTCTTTTCATCAAGGTCTCCACTGGGGGAAACAAGTTGTCTCATTCTTCTGAGAGCAACAGCTCAATTCCTGTTGCTCCCAATAACTGCCTTCCAGTCCTTGGGCTCCTGCTAGTACCTCCATTCAGTCTCTTCACTTAAATTACAGGTGCCAGCCATGTCTAACCCCACACAAGCTCTTGGAATCAGCTCTTTCTTTCTCCCAGGTAAGAAAGAAAACAAAGCTGTCTGTCGGTAACTATATTTCCTAGAAATCTCATCCAGGTAGACTCTGAAAACTTCTCTTCTGCCTGCAGAAATTCTTTCTCAAAAGCCCCTTACACAAGTAAATAAAACAATACAAAGGTAATTTCTTTTTTGGGGGGGAGGAAGGAGGTAACAGGAGTGGGGGTGGGAATTAATCTTTGAAGAAGGTTAAGTATTCTGAAAATCGGAGGTAAGGAAAGAGTGCATTCTAGGTATGGGGGAATAGTCTGTTCAAAGGGAAAGAGATTCAGAATGGCAAGATCGGGCAGAATTTGTGCTTCCTTAGCATAACCTTTAAGTTCTCTATATCATTTCCATAACATAGAAGCCATAAAAGCTTAGATGGAAAAGAGGTCATAATGAGTAGCTGACACTTAAATGCTTGTTGAATTGACTTCTTAAGCGGCTGGAACATATAGCCAGGCCAAACTCTGCATATTGTCTCTAGAAGGTTGTGGAGATGATTCCTTTTTAGGCAAGGATTGGACTAGATGGTATTTGAGGTCCCTTCCAACTTTTGCAATTCTGTGAATCCTTGAAGTAACGTGCCCAAGGTCACACACATAGGAAAGTGGTGAGCAAGACTTTAAAAGCAGATCCTTTGATTCCAAATCCAGTGCTCTCTCCATTTTGTTATGCTGCCTTTCATATAGTGGTGAAATTTATAAGTGTGGAGGGGACTGGGGGTGGATTTACGGAAAAAATCAGCTTTGGTTTTAAATCTGTTCAGTTTGAGATACTCAGGAGACATCCAGGTGGAGATGCCTATCTAGCAGGCAGCTGGAGATGCTCTCGGAGTCCTTTTAACTATGATAATTGAATAAATGAGGGCTAAGATCGCCCTGGCAAATAATAATTCCTCCAGGAAGCTTTTCCTAATCTCTGAGGAAGTTACGGAACTTCTCCTCTCCCCCCTCCTTCCCCCCGCTTTGTTTATATATAACAAGAACTCCTATTTACGAAGAACTTTAAGGTTAGAAAATGCTTTGTACTCTTCGAAAGTAGTTCACGTATTATCATTACCATTTTACAGATGAGGAGATTGTAGACTTGCCTAGGGTCTCAAAGCGAACTCGAACCCCCCTCCTCCTGGCTCTAAGTCTGCTTTCTATCATCGTAGGCTCCGCTGCCTCTCCCGGGCATTAGTAAAGTGCCCTGGGTTTGAGCAGTGTTGAGCGGTCAGCGCACACCGGGACAGCTGCACGCGCTGTTACGGCTCTAACACTCGGACCTGTCGGGACCCAACAAGGTTAGAGCCCCCCAAGCCAGGAAACGTGCAAGAAGCATCAGGTGGGGAGAAAGACCGAAGCGAGCCTAGACAAAACCTGCGGATCCGTTCCGGGCGAGAGGAGGGGCTTATCTGCAGCTCCGAGAGTCTGCCGCAAAACGGCTCGCGAGATTTTATCGGGGAGGGGGGCGGAGAGTGAGGCCCGCGGGGCCCTGCCGTGCTCTGCCTTTCCCTGCCCCGCCCAGGCAGAGCGTCGAGTCCCGCCCAATGAGCCTCGGCTCCGCCCCCGGGTTGATCGTCGCCTTCTCCTGTGAGCGTGCGCTGGCGCGGGTCCTCGCGCGGCGCGTGCCCCGGCCGTCAGCTTTGGCGAGGTGGGCGCGCGCGCGCCGCGTATAGTGCTGGGGGAGCGGGACAGGGTAGTGAGGCAGCATTGGCCGAGAGGACTCACTCGTTGGCCAGAACCTAGCAGCAAGTTACGGAGGCCCCAGCTCGGCCTGGGCGGGAAGGGACCGGACGCGCCCGTCACGGGCGCCAGCTCCACTCCGCTCACCGCCCCCGCGCAGACGATTGGGTTCGCGGCGGTCCCGGCTTCAGCCGCGCCGCCGTGTCGGGGACCATGAGCCGCCGGGCCCCGCCGCGGGCCCCTCCGGGCTGAGGGGCCGCCGCCGCGTGGGCTGCGGAGGGCGGACGACCCCGGCCACTGCCGCCGGGTCCCCAGCGAGCCCCTGGCCCCAAGGCTGGGGCCCCGCGCCGCGCCCCGGAGCCCGCGCGCCCGGAGAAAGAATGCACTCGCCCGTGGACCCCAGCGCCAAGCAGGCTCTGAGGAAAAAGCCCCCCGAAAGGACCCCGGAGGTGAGCGAGCCCCGGCTCCGGCCGGGCCGCCGGAGCAGGAAGCTGCGCTAGGCGGGGCGGGGTGGAGGCGGCGAGGAGTGGGGAGCTTGGCCGGCTTGTCCTGACAACTTTTCAGAGGGCAGCACTCCTGGGGGCAGTAGGGATTGGTATAACTGGGGGCGCCCCGCCAGCCCTCAACGCCCGCGCCGCCCCGGGGCGCGGGGTCCCACTTGGCCGGGGCGTCGGTGCAAATGATTGAAAAGTAGTATTCGAGACTTGTCAGCGCCCGGCCCGGCGGTCATGAAGCAGTCAGAGCTCCCCGGTGACAGGGGGCTTTGGGCCGCCCTGGGTAGTCTGGGCACATAGCGGCGAGAGGATGATGGTTTGGGTGCCACCTTTCTGGAGATGGGACCCGCTGGACGAGACACTTTGACCTTGCGTTTGTCCCAATGATGGCAACAACTGCTGTGGACACTTCACACAAAAGGAACCTGCTCCCCGGGTGTCTCGTACACATTGCCAGATTGCCACAAGGCACGGTCCTGAAACTTGACCCCTGGATCTACAGTGGCTTACTTGAGGTTAAGTCTCAATTTTGGCAGCATACCTTTAGCTAGATGGTTTGCGCCTCCCTGATCTTTCTCTGTGTCCAACTTGGAATATTTTCTCGAAATTGAGTCAGTTCAGTAGGTTACCTTTTGTAATGTAAGTGACATTTCTCTTTCAGAGCAGCTGCTCTCTTTACTTCCAGTCATTTCCTATTTTTCTGTAATCCCTAAATGTACTTTTGACAGAAATCTTGGGCAGCTTTGAGAAGCAGAATAGGTGAAGTATCATACTTTTCCTAAATGAAATTGTGCAGGCAGGTGACAAGGAATTAACCAAAAAATTAAGACTCCTTGAAGCATGAAATGAACCTGAAATTAAGTAATTACTTAAATAAGGCTCTCATAGTGTTTTAAAAGGTTTTTGTTTTTTAGCTAGGCAGTGGGGTTAAGTGACTTGCCCAGGGTCATACAGCTAGTACGTGTCAAGTGTCTGAGGTCACATTTGAACTCAGGTCCTCCTGACTCCAGGGCTGGTGCTCTATCCACTGCGCCACCTAGCTGCCCCTTAAAAGTATTTTTAAAAAAATATTTTTTAAACAGTTTCTGTAGTTGAACACTGACCTCAATGCATTTTCTGTTAAATTATGTAACCTTTGAGCTGGTGATGAAACTTGTCAAGAGACGAATTGCAGGCAGTTGTACCTTTTGTTTGGAAATTTGCCATCTGCTTTACCCGAATGCAGATTTCAAGTTTTTTGTTTTTGTTTTTAAGAAGTAATACAATCAAGTTGAGGTGTTTTAGTCTTAAGGTTTTCTAGAAGTCTGCTGTACAACTTGCATTGTAGTAGACAGTGTTTTGATTTTTGCCGTCTTTTGTCTTTTTATACTGAAATAATTTGTGTACTTAACTCTTGTGTTATATAGTGGAAAGAACACAGACTTGAGAGGTAGAGAGACCAATGTTGAGCACAGTGCCTGGCACAAAAGTAGGCTCTATTAAGAGCTTATTGACTGACTGACCTGGATTCAAATCCTGCTGTTGTGATCTGGACCAGATCATTTCATCTCTCTGAGCCTCAGTTTCCTCATCTGTAAAATGGGGGAGATTTGGGGTAGGTGGCCTCCAATATCCCTTCTAGCTCTTAAGTCTGTGATTCTGTAATTTCAATACTTTAAGGATCCATGCAGTTCCTGTCTAAGTAGGTGGTTTTCAGAAATTTCTCAAACTGAAAAATTCATCACCCAGATAATCATCTCTGTATTTAGCTAGGCTGGTTCTTAGCCTAGCTTACATAGGGCTCTATCACCAGGCCTATATTTGAAGCCTTTCTTAGCTTGGAAATTGCAAAAACTTGCATTCTGATTGAATAGATTTTTTGAGCCAAGGGTTGCTTGCATGTCAGAGGAATGGGAAGTGAGAAGAGAGACAATCATCTGTCAAGAACAGCAAATAAGACATTATGGCTAGATTATAGATTGTAAAAATAGATTGTGAAAGGATTTAAATGCCAAGGAAAAGAGGTTATATTTGATGCTAAAGGTAATAGGGAGCAGCTGAAGTTTTTTGAATATGGAAGTGATATCAGTCAATCAATATTTATTAAGTGTCTGATATGTGCCAGGCACTGTGCAGAGGATACAAAAAGAGCCAAAAGACAGTCCCTGCCTTAAGGAAATAATTGACATGGGGAAGCCACTAGAATTAAGAGGGGTTGGAAAAGGCTTCCTGTAAAAGATAGGATTTTAGGGGCAGCTAGGTGGTGCAGTGGATAAAACTCTGGCCTTGGAGTCAGGAAGACCTGAGTTCAAATGTGACCTCAGACACTTGACACTAGGTGTGTGACCTTGGGTAAGTCCCTTAACCCTGATTGCTGCCAACCCCCCCCATAGGATTTTGGTTGGAGCTGAAAGGAAGCTAGGCAAGTCAGTAAGCAGAGTTGAGGGTTAGACCTACACTTTAGGAAAATCTTCTTGACAGCTATGTGGAAGATAAATTGGAATGGGGAGAGACTTGGGGAAGGTTTTCTGTCCAGTAGTAGATTACAATGCATGTCTTACTTTTCTATCTTTGGGGCTATAATAATGGTAACTAGCATTTATAAAGTGCTTTAAAGTTTACCACAGTGGGTAAACTTCTGTCTCTTTTATTCTCATGTGTTCTTCCACTGCCATTTACATAGTTCTCTAAGGGAGATCCATAATTTTAATTTGTTGGAGATTTTGATTCATTTTTGCTGGACCTTATTCAAGCTGTTCTGGTGCTTCATGTTTTGAGATTAGAATGAAATGAGATACTTGTAGACTAAGAGTTAACAAAAGGAAGTTTACTTGTTTGTAGCACAGAACTCAGCAAGAGTTCAGTCTTAGTTCCCTTCATTTCCACATGGAAACACGTCTGCTCACCAGGGTGTGTTGAATATAGTAAGTCATACAGCAGTGGGCTGTCTTCAAAGTCTGAGAGCTGCTTTCTTTTGGGCTGGCCTTTTATGCCACAGGTGACCAGGAAGCTGTGTCAGTGGCTCAGACTTTAGCTTCCTGGACCAGTTCAGTTTCAGGATCAGAATTTCTGCCTTTTAGGGAAAAGAACCTAGCCTACCCTACATGCAAGATTCTGCTCCTAGAACAGTCCAGCCTTTGATGGCAAAGTCTTAAATGGCCTTAGTGGACAGTCCTCACTTTGAGGCTGGAAGAATACTGGAATAGATGGCACTGGAGGAGGAAATTAGCACTGGTAAAAGAAAAGAAAGAAAGGAAAAAAAGACAATATGAATTTCACTTAAAGTAGTGCAGGACCAGGGTGATTGAATTTGCAGGATAGAAAAGAGCAGAAATCCCAGCTTTGCCCTCTGTGCTTTGGGAGGACCGGATACTAGGCCTGTTATGTAGTAAGTGATGTTGAGTGCAGTTCACAGTGCATCTCCCATGTAAAAATAAAGACACTAAAAAGGAGAAGCAGTAGGAACATGAGTAGTATAGTGCAAATAATGACACTGTTTGCACCCTCAGTGATCTTCATCATTGGCCACGGTCATCTGTAGTAAAGTGGTTAAGAGGTCATTGAACCACTTCATGTAGGCTGCTCCAGTGCTACCAGCTTCTTAGTGCTCCCTGTCCCACCGGGCGGACTCTTCCCTCTCTGGGAGCCTCATCTGGGAGAGTTAATGGCAAGTCTCTGCTTCTCTGCTGAGGGGCTGCTGCCTTCCTGAAGGTGCGTCTTCTTTGGTTTTGAGGAGGCAGAATGTTAGGGCTGCAACCAGAGGCCTATACAACACAATCCTAAATTGTTTTCCCCAAAAGCTCCATCAGCAGAGAATTTGTGTCCATCTCTTAGTGCTGCTCATGATCCTTAAGACAGTCACTCCGAATAGTCTGCTTTATGCTTATGCTTTCAAAGAATACCGTTGGTGAACAAAGCTGAATTCAAGATAGCTCTTCAATACAAAACAAATTTGTTTAGCAAACCTTGATTCACTATAGGTTCATGCAACCCAATTTATTTAACTTATGCAACTCAGTAATTCTTTTTTTTTTTACTTATGTCCCAGACCTTCTCTTCAAGTTCTCAGCTCCACTTTCTCTCCTTACAAGCAGCAAATGTCCTCATGACCAACTTTATTAAGAAGACCATCTGGTGTGAATTCTCTTGTCTCTGTTGGATACTTATATTTTCATCCTCTCCAATGTCACAATAAATATTTTTTCTTTCTAAAGCCAAATCTTTTTTCCTACTATTTCTTAGTACTGTTGTCTTAAATATAAATTGGTTGTTTATAATATTCATGTCTTTGTCCTGCCAGTTACCTAAATCATTGTTTCTCTTTGAAAATTGTTAGTCTGATTATTCACTTGTATAAAGGGCTGTAGGGGGCCTTGTAATCTGCAGTTGAGTGTGAGTTTTCCTACCTTGATCTTATTTATATTCTTTTTTTTTTTAACTTCAGAGGATCAATCATTTTGTCTCTTTCCTTCAATTTATCTTCTTCTGTTTCCCTCCTCTGCTGACTCCTTTCCTTCTGCTTTCAAACATGCTCTACTATCTTGGGGAAACAAGCAGTTGCTTCCTTCTGTCTTTATTTTTCTCTTTTCAGATATTTGATAAGCCAGGCGTACTGTTTTTCCCATACATATAGAAGGAAATAGAAGTTAACATAATTCTTAACCATTCTGCCACTTGGTTACTCTTCTGGTTTAAAGTTTTAGATGTGTTAGTTTGTGAAGGCATCAGTTTATGATTATGTGCAAATATAAAGGCTTGAGAAGTTAGGGAGATTAGTCAAGTGAGAACTGCAGACTGGAAAGAGTAGCAGGGGGGGTAAGAGGGTTAAGGAATATGGAGTGTTGTGAATTTTAATTAACAGGAAAAAATGACTTTTGTTGCACATGTCATAGTCTTAAAGAGGTTAAATAGTTTCATATGCTTTTAAGCCCTTTGCATGCAAAACACCCTGAACTCTCTGAATGCTGAATTCTGAA